CCCCAAAACCCCAAAACCCCATTAAGCACTTATTTGCAAGATAAAGTGCAAGATAGTATTTAAATAAATGTTATTTAATTGGTAAATTAGTTATATTAAGAGCTTAAATAATAATAAACATATTAATGAGTGTAGATCATGAAAATAATTTGAAGGAGCCATTCCTTCTAAAAGAGCAAAATCAGAAAAAAATTGATCCGAACTTTAGTAAAAATAGCAGTAAAATAGCCAAATTTTTTGAAAAAAACTACCTATACACAGGACTTATTGTAGGGTTATGCTACGGAGCGTATCATTTTACATTATTTTTGAGCGTAGGATAAGTACTGGAGCTAAGAATGCTTTATCTTATTCAAATTGTAAACTTGATATACTATGTCCTATATCATTCATATTTTGCTGTTGAAAGTAAACAAAAGTATGGATCTTTCTGGTCTTAATCAAGATCCTCATACTTCCTTGAAAATGGTAATTTGAATAGATTCGTGCTTTTTGCTCTTGTTTCAAAATCAATAATTTAATATCTTTCATAATATGTTTTGTACTACATCTTAGTTACATCAGTGAGATCAGGAATCAGTAACTCAATTATTATTTCAATTTATGGTACATCATCCATCCTCTGTGCAATTGCTTTTTATTTTGTATTTAATGAGAAACTCGGAATAAGACATATTATTGGTATTCTTGCAGTTACTGCAAGTATTATACTAATTGCAAATGGAAGATATGAAATTGCTGGGAATGCATTATCTAAAAACGCAGGAGTTAGCGAAGAAAATAAGCTTACTGCCTTAATTCCTATTAGCCTAGCAATAATAAATTGCTGTTTTTTTGTCGTTACTGCCTTAATTACAAGAGTAATAAAGGTATCAAAACTATCTATATTCTAATACGCAGCTGATAGTTAATTTTTGGTTTCTATTACATTTTCTTTACAAGCTCTCATTTCACATTTATTCTTTGAGTCATACACTTTTTATGAGTTCTATTTGGTTTTTATTAGCTCCTTGTTTATGGTAATTGCTTAAATATTTTTTGCAGGATCTGCAGCTTATGGACAGGGAGGTCTTGTCCAAGCTATGCTAAATATTTAATCTCCATTTCAAATGCTTTTGGAAATGATATTTTTAAAGCTTTATCCTGCATTTATGGGAGTCCTAGGAATGATAGTGTGTCTATTTGGAGCGCTTTTCATTATTTTAACTAAGAAATGAAAATCAATCTTAAAAATAGAGGAAGTTAATTCATTACTTTAACAAATTATTTTTATAACATTCTTTCTTCGTTCGTAAAGCCATAGGTATAAATTACTTGATCATCAGAACTTTTGAGAGAAAAAATGTTTTATGATTTTAGAAATAATTAAATAAACATAGAAATAGATTACTTTCTTATGTTTTCATTCCGGGGGTTTTGGGGTTTTGGGG